CTCAGCCGTTCACCATAACCCGATATACGGTAGTGGTGAAGGAGAGGGATCGACTGCACCGAAAAATGAGGTCGATGAACAGGTCGAGCCAGTTGTTACAGACAGAGTAAAGGAACGAGATAAAATATGAATAATTTTTTTGGGGGGAGGGGGGGGTGGAAGGGGTCTTGTGTCAAGGAAAACGAGAATTGGGTTTACACAATCACTAGTTGTCTGTTTTCATGTTACTAGAGATACTAGTGGCAGCTGAGGATTGGGATTAATCTATCATTCTTATTTCCTTGATATGAACAGTATGCATGTATAAAGCAGGTGTCAAATATCACTGTTGGTATAATCAATTACTTACCTCGTCTACATCGGTCACCTTTATACAACACAGGTGACCCACATAATCAGTCTCTAACATTATCACTCAACCCATCGGTCTTCAACATCACTCTTCCATTATAGGAGTCACCATTCACTATCAACCACTGCACCATTAATCATTGCACCACTAACAATTCAACACTACTCTTCACACTCACCATTCACTATAATTTTTACAACACTATTAATACAACTTGAAGGTAACTATATCACAATCACTGCACGACCGGACACGCTGGCATGCTACTGCTAACAAGTGGTGTCATAATTTTCAGTTAATACACTTTTAGCTTATCATAAGTTAGAGGACAATATTAGCGTAAGGATATTTGCCTATAGTCTGTACTATAAGTAAACGTTGTGAATAGTTATCAAAGTCTCCTCATCCATTCCCTAACCGATGCTAAAAGTCGACCTAATAGAATGCTAGAGCTAAGAGTAATATTTGGAAGTATTTATTGTGTTTGAGCTTCAGTCAGACAATTAGATTCTTTGATCTTCAAATCTTCACTGAACGTCGAATTTCCATCGTACGAACCTTTAAAAATAACTGCACTTTGAGTTCTTCTTGCGTACACGACAAAAATTTCCATTAAACTCCGAAAGACAATTACAGCCACAGTGTATACAAACATCAAAGGTAGCCTGTGTCTGTGTGCCCACCACTTAATTCTAACTAACTGTGAGCTAACTTTGGTCTATCGAGTTAAAACAACAGCATTAAACGGTGCCTTAAAAAAAAACACCTCTACACTCCTGGCGTTGAAAAAGAGTTGTGATGAGAATGTTTAGTAAGACCGTGAAGTTATGTCCTTGAGTCATTACATTACTGTCAATATTACTATTTGTCATTCCTTCGACTCCCGGCTTTCTCTCTGTTGGCTGTAGGTCTTTTACTATGAGTTTCTTTGATCTTTTCTTCGCTTGATGTTTTCCCTTGTGGTCACAGGGTTCCTCTTTTATCAGCTTTTAGAGTATTTGTAGTGGAATCCTGTAAGAGGTCTACAGGTCGCCCATCGGCAACTTTTATAGGTAAATTGGATGTCAGGTGTGACAGTATACACAGGTAAGCTTCGATAATTGATGAGATGAAAATTATTTTATTAATTTATCTTACAAAAAAAAGGAGAAAAAGTCGATTGAAACAGAAAAATCTCAATTAATTTCAGTGCTTGATAAGATCTCTCTCTCTCTCTCTCTCTCTCTCTCTCTCTCTCTCTCTCTCTCTCTCATAAAAAACAAGATAAAATATATATAAAGGTCTCGATGGGTCTATATCAGATCTATTAAGCAATATTTAAGTTAGTACAGTAAATAAACACATTTAAGCACACATTGCTCACCCAACCTAATGGCAATGTTCATTTTTTTATTAATGTGAAACACTTGCCGTAAGATTTTGAAAGCCTTAATATCAAAATAAATTATTAAAATTATCTTAGAATTATGGAGTCTTTCTGCTTTCAAAACTCAAGAACTGGTTTAAATTTGCATAATCAGACGTAAGAGTGTTAACAATAAATGGTGTTACGGTCATGAAATACTGCAAATGAATGTTATCTGAATATGTTACTTAAGTCACTAATAGTTTGATTGACTTTTTACCGGCTTCATCATCTCTGTAATTACACCTTTACTCGCCAGGTGGTCGTGGCTTTACCTGTGGAACACCTGTCTGACAACACCCACACACACACACATTCTGAAGGCCATTTATTAAAATAAGAAATCACAGGAAATTCCTCTAGATGAAGGAGAACCACAAAAATATTTCTAAGTAATAGTTCAGTGACACATAACCTTTAAACTACAGCTTAAATGACTTACAGTAAACAACGCTAACTTTATACCACAATAAAGCTCTTGTGTTGTGTTATTTTTTTTACGTTAACTCAAAAGAAAGTTGGGCGGCCTGGCCTTTAAGGAAGAATTTTGTGGGTGATGGAAAAACATAATTTTAACAGTAATGGAAGTAAGTTGTAATGATTTTGTTAGGCCATCCTAGGTTTAACCGACTGCCTGTTTACCATTGTTAATATACCTGTACTACCTACATATTGTACCTTGTATACGTACACTGCGCATATACTGTATGCCTATAAATGTACAACCTGTATCAATGTGAACGTGTATGATTAATTAAGTGAATAGGTCTGTCTATAGGTCTATCTGTTTATAGGTCTGTCTGTCAATAGGTCTGTCAATAGGTCTGTTCGTCCGTCCGTCCGTCTGTCTGTCTGTCTGTCTGTCTGTCTGTTCACGTCAGGTCACTTTTATTGTCCTAGGTTCAAATCAGTAAAAATAACCCAAATGGCTGGACAGCTAAACAGACGTCGCCTCTCACGATTTCTGGGGTCAACTATCTTAACAGGATCTGACATGACCTAAAATTCACTGATAAAACAGATTTTCCATCACTTGCATATCACATAACCAAATGATTTATTAAAAACATAATCAACGTAACATACGAGTCATTTTTGATACCCGAATCACATAGGCTCTTGATATATGCGATGATCACCCAAAACAAGTCAATATATATATATATATATATATATATATATATATATATATATATATATATATATATATATATATATATATATATATATATATATATATATATTAATTTAGCTTAGCAAATATCCCGAATCCCCGATATGAATTAGTGGATTCCAATTACTCTCTTGAGGTTAAAAGAGAGAACGAAGCAGCAAACGTCTAGCGACAAAAATCAATCAAGTTTTATCTCTGAGTTGGAATCAGGTTCTCTCAATCACCCTAGAAAAGACACGACACAGATTGCAGCAAGGAAGAGTCACAGTATCAAAGACTATAGAGGAGTGTAATGTTCACAATTTAGGTCAGCACTAATGACACTCCTTCATCAAAGCGAGAAGATTATGAGGTAACCTAATCTTAATCAAAATCAATAGCCAAGATCTGTAATTAAATGTATATTGAGAATTAAACTTTGAGATGTTGATGTAATTTGTTAATAGTTAGCCAACAAGACATATTTCTGTTGTTTATGCTTCCGGGAATAAGATATCCAACCTAAACTACTAAACCGAAAACGGGAATCCAAGATATGGGAAGCAGGTTATCATCTTCAAGTGGTTATCCCTGTTTGACTTCCCGTTCTGTGTTATATAATGAGGTCAGTGAATAAATCAATCTCATAATTTCTTCATATCTAGTATAAAAAGTCTAATGTTCTATGTTTAAACCGACCAAACAGTAAACAACTATTCAGCCTCTTCCTGTGTTGTTTGCATTCTACAGCTACTCGATTACGAAAACACAAAACGGGAAGTCAAGCAAGGATAGCAGGTTATCTTCTTGACGTGAGCAATTCCTTATCATAAATCATTTTATTGACGCCATAAATAACATTATGAGACCCTGAAGTATAGTTTCACCCCCAGTACCTCTACCTCCTCCTCCTCCTCACCCATCCCTCTGTATCGAATATCCCGGTGCGCAACACGATTCGAAAGTGTAAATCACAGTGGCGGGAAAATTGTCACTGATAAATTGGTTTTCTTTTAAATGAAAGTAAGGAAGAGATATCCACTGATTGCTCTCTCTCTCTCTCTCTCTCTGTGGTGACCGTGAAGTGAGTTAGAGAGAGAGAACGATAAACGGCAGACTTAGGAGTAAACACAACCGATGACAAACAGGAAAGTCACAAAAGAAAACAGGTTTTAAGGAAGACTCACAATAACACGGATAGAAAGTAAAACTGACTTGACATTTACTCACTTTGAAACACAATAGCGAGCAGACGGATAAAAAAATACTATAAATTGATCATAAAGTTAGCAGAAATAATTTATCAAATGGAGTAAAACAAAAATCGAAGAATATTTGGATAAGTAGACAGTAACACACGATACCAGAGAAACGGAAAGACAGTACATTGGAAAGAAAAGATAGAAACTGTCAGAAGTGCAGAGAGACAGGCAAAATGCAAGTTGTTCAAGCAGAGACGGAAAAGACCGATAAAAAACCATGGCGGAAGTGATCACACACACACACACACACACACACACACACACACACACACACACACACACATTATACCACAGCATCGATTCAGTAAATTTTACAAGCCAGTCATGTGAAACTCCCACGGTAACTGAAACCTTTTTCTCCAATAGTAATCTGAAACTACGTCAAAACTGCCATTCTACGAGGCGCATCCCTACAGCAAATGAGGCCAGTCGGCCCGACAGGAGGAACTCTACCCCAGCACACCTTACGGTTTCTCCGATAGGAATGCATTCATCCGACAGACTGCAGAGTCTCCCATGAATCTCAACATTACAGATATCCTTTTCCTGAAAATTCCCGCAAAAAATATGAAGAATATTCTTATATATTAAAATATTTGAGAATATAATTTACAAATATACAGTATATATATATATACTGTATATATGTATGTAAAGACATTATATAAGATTATGTAATATACCAGACCTGGAGCACCGAAGAGACGTGTTTAAAATTCCTTAACTAGCAACTCGATCGTATAGAAAACGAACTGCGAGAGGATTTCACTGTACAATGTTGGTTGTGGGTTTTTACTCTGGTATTGCTTAGCGGTGTGGGACTCACCAGTGTGAAAGTTGGACGAGCAGTTGGTGTCCTAAAGCCGTAGGAGACAGACAAGGCGCACGGTGCGGGTTAACACCTTCACCATTTTTCCACGATAAACGACGAAAACGAAAAAAAAAAGGGGGGAAAGAAAAAGAGTGAATTATATAGTGTCGATAAGTGTTTATACGGCACATGAATCTAACAGTGAGTGAGTGCGGTGATCCCCTTAACTATGACGTTCTGATGCACCTGTGTCCTGCTTGTAACCCGACCTGCAGAGCCAAGAGGAGAGAAGAGGAAGAAGACTCCCCACAGAAACGCAGACTCAACTCCCTCCATACCATATAGCTCCTTCAACACCACCTCTCCAACACGTCAGATCCATCCACCAACACGAAAATAAAAATGAAGAATCTTGTTGGGTATTTGGCAATTTTCGTGGTGGTGGTGACCCCCTTGGATGGTCAGGTGCCCAGAGAGTGTAAGTACCCGTTTGGCGAGTCACCTGAGTGGGGGTCGGCCTCTCTTAGATTCTAGTTTCCTCTCATTCCTTCTAAGATTATCCTAACTTTTTTTTACGCCTTATCTCTGTCCTTTAATTGGGTTGTTTCCTATAGCACTAACTAGTTTTTCTTTAATTTCACCTTCTTTGGTGGTGTTGTCTGGTTTTTTTTAGGGGGATGGGGATCTGTATCCAAGTTATTATTTTGTCTGAGGAAAAGAACTTGGATTTTCTTTCGTTTCATTTCAATGTGATTTTCTTAAAGGATTATTTCTCAGTCTCCCGAGTTCTTCTTGTCAAGTCGTTTCTCATCGGCTGTCCACCCCCAAGCTGAGCTAAATGTCGTAAGGTGTTTGTCTTAAACTTCGTATGTGTTTTATTTTAATTGGTTCTTATTTATCGTATTAATTTTTCATTTCCTAATTACTTTCCTTTCATCGGTGTTGATGTTTTTATTGTCATCTTATTTATCAGTATTGTCATCATCAATCATCATCATTAACGTCAAGAACTTCACCATTATCATCACAATCATCACCAGTCTTTCCTTCATTATCCTACATGTATTTTACTCTTTTTTTGGGGGGGGGGTTAATGCAATCATCTTCGTCTGCCCCCCTCCCCCTTCCCCCCACAACACCCCCTCCTCCCCATTACCCTCGTCGAACGTACTGAGAAACACAAAAGTATTATTATTTTTCATCATCCGTCGATAATACGTGTCTCCCCCCCCACACACACACACCCACCTCCTACCCCACCTACCATTCCATCCCCACTTACTACCGCACACCTCCCTACCATCCTAACCCACTCATCTAATACCCACCAACCCCCACCTACCCCTACCTCACCCCCACGCTGCTCCTGAGAACCACACAGCCTTCAGTATCTCAGGTCTCCCATAAGAAGGTTTTATTTTTTTATCATAATTTTACCTCCGTATTACATTGCTACACTGTGTCCTTGGAGAGGGTACAAAGGCCGGTGGTAGTGTGGGAAAAGAGGGTCCGTTTTTTTTTTTTTTTTTGCCTTGTTAGTATTGAGGAATGTGTTTTTTTTTGCTGTTTTTTTTTTTGTCTGGCATTCTGTCCATTGTTTTCTCTTTCCATTGATTGTTTTTTTTTTTTTTTTAGCCGTCAAGTTCTCGGCAATTCATGTCTATCTGTCTGTCTGTTTGTCTTTCTAACGCATTCTCCTACCTTTGACTAGCATTGATCTCTCTCTCTCTCTCATTTTCTTATTTTTCAGAAGCTCCACTGATTAAAATTAGGTAACAAATTGCGAGATTGGTCTGTCACTTAACTTTATGGGGAGTGGTAAGATAAGACAGTTTTATGTCTTTATTATTATTGAACACACACACACACACACACACACACACACACACACACACGAGGGAGGATACCTAATCTATATAACTATTATAAATATAAATGGGATTATAATAGAATCAATATATAATCTAAATTAATCCATCCGACACGATATTAACGCTATAAAATAACGCTCTATCTCTCTCCCTCGATGCACAGGTTGAGAAAAAGGGACAAATGATATTAGCAATAACGTTGAATTTTTTTCGTTGGAATTGAATACAACACAAATCTTTTTTTCTTTCTTTTCTCGTTAACAATTCATACGTACACTTAATTTGATTTAGCTGTGGATATTGCTCTGAAAAATGTAATACTGTTATATACACAATACAGTCATAGTTGTATTGGTGGTTGTTCCTTGTGTGTGTGTGTGTGTGTGTGTGTGTGTGTGTATGTGTGTGTTATTGCATTAATTTTCCACCAGTTCTTTGGTAAATATAACAGATGGATATTAATTCAAGCTGTTATCACATTACTCTCTCTCTCTCTCTCTCTCTCTCTCTCTCTGAAAATAATGAATGCGAGCAGTTATATAAAATGAAAGGTTGAAAAAAATTAAAAAAAAAACAGAAATACTATATAATATAGACAAACATAAAATGATGTGTTGAATAAAAACTGAGAGACATTAATTAGGAGGGCGCCACTGTCCATTCACACTTACTTTAGGTTAGGTTAGGTTAGGTTAGGTTAGGTTAGGTTAGGTTAGATTAGGTTATATTAGGTTAGGTTATTAGGCTGAAATAAACTAGTGAGCAGGAGGAAAAATATTCATCTGATCTGCTTTCGTGGACTAGTTTGTTTTGTTTTGTTTTTGTTTTTCACTTAAAGACATAAAGCCTTAATGCAGAATAACAAAGAACAACAAAGATTAATGAAAACACTGTATCCCACTGTATCATACTCCCACACTACGATACCTTCCCCCGTGAGAACCGTAAATAGTATAATAAATTAGAATACAGTCACCACACCTGCAGTTCCGGGTCCTGTTTCACGAGGCTGGGTTGTGTGATCGTGACTCATTAGTCATGTTCGTTATTTTTATTGTGGATTGGAGTCTGTTTGATGGGGTTACAGGAAGAGATAGAGAGAGAGAGAGAGAGAGAGACTGTGGGTGTGTGTGTGTGTGTGTGAGAGAGAGAGAGAAAGAGACTGTGTATAAGAGAGACAGAGCCAGACTGTGTTTACGTGAGAGAGAGAGAGAGAGAGAGAGAGAGAGAGAGAGAGAGAGAGAGAGAGTGAGTTACATACCACCTGAAGCACACAACGAACTCCAGCATATTTTTTTTAAATAACTTTAATTGACAAGAAAAATTATGCAAATTATATCGACGTAATGTTGAAAGAGCCATTATTAGCCCACACGAGAGTTTTAATTTACCTCTTCAGCAATTATCTGCGAATTATCCCGGGTGTCTGTTTGTCCGTCTCTGCATCTGTCAGGATAACTGGCTTATCGGCTTACTGGTTGACAGGATATTTGATTGTCTGTCTGTTCACCTCTCTGTCAAACTGTATACTTGTCTTCTGTCTAGTTGCATGTCAGTCAAAGTTTCGATCTTGGTGGGTAGCTGTTGAGTTTAATTATCAAAGTTCAATAGCTACCAAGACCGAAATTTAATTAAGCGACTATCATTCTGTTTGTGTGTCTGTCTGTCTTTGATGTTGACTTGTTGATACTGTATGTTGTTAATTGGTGTGCTTGTTAGTCTTCATGTCCATAAGTCTGTAGTCGCTTATTAGCTTCTTGTGTTTCCTGCCAATAACTTGTTTGTCAGTTCGGGTAGTTGGATGATTGAGAGGTAAGCTCTGCTCTCACACACACGTAGAGACTGATATATAAACACCCACAGACACACGTGCATAATGACACAAACACAACTCAAAATAATAATAATAATAATAATAATAATAATAATAATAATAATAATAATAATAATAATAATAATAATAATAATAATAATAATAATAATAATAATAATAATAACAACTACAACACTTATATTAATATTAATAATAATATTTTCATTTATTATTATTATTATTATTATTATTATTATTATTATTATTACGCTATAACAGGTTATGGCAAACTGTGGTGGACTGTAATAGGCTGTGGTAAGCTGTGGTAAGCTGTGGTAGGCTGTAACAGGTTGTGGTAAGCCGTGGTAGGCCGTAACAGGCTAGGTAAGCTGTGGTAGGTTGGGCAGGCGGCGAGAGTGGTGGAGACGGAAGCTGGCGAGCGAATGAGGATCTGTCTGGGAGAGGGAAAGTATGTAGGTCACCCACCAACCTACTATACTGCTAGTGCTACCATACCCTGCGGTTCTACCCTACTTTTCTACCCTGCTGTTCTACCCTGCTACCCAACCTTAGTGCCCTATCGTGGTACCCTTCCCTGTACCGCTACCCAGTTTAAAAAGATGGAAACAGAACTGTACGAAAAACTGCAAGAAGAGTAAGGACGTCTTCTAACTAAAATCTTACAAGAAAATGCAAAATGACAGGAATCCATGTTTACTATGACACCCTCTGACAAGACGTAATAAAGTGAGAATTTTTTATAAAGAATCTTCCGAGGAAATGTTTTTTTTCTAAGATAATAAGGTAACATTGTTTCCTAAATTTTAAACCAATTGAAAATATGCAATACTATTTTTGTTTTCCTTTGCTAGAACAAAACAGAGACTGTAGATGTTAATGGAAAATTAGAAGAAAAAAAATAATGAACGCCTCGGTGGAATCATACAAGAAAGCGTAACCAGATGGGCACAATAAACGTCAGAACCTTATAAGAACACTTGGGGAGACTCATCGATGAAGCCTTCCTAGTGTACCCAGTGCCAGAGGGGGAAACTGCTCACTGCATTCTTAAAGAGACAACGTTAGGTGGTGTCTCGCGTCCGTCGATGCTTACAAGAAGAAGATGGAAAGTAAATGATTTCCTTACAAGTGACACTGTATCTCCCTGTTGTAACACACACACACACACACACACACACACACACACACACACACTACGTTGCGTGTGCAGCTGTAGGAGTTGGCAGAATAGACCCCGACCTTCCTTGGCCAGTTATTCTCTCTTGCCATAAAAACTGGAGCTCAAATGGGGCGAGGTTGTGATGGCCGCCCCTGGTGCTTGCAATCGAGGCTTAACTTTTCTGCAATTTTACACGTCATCCTTGAAAAAGCCCTGGTCATCCATCAATGCATCTCTCTCTCTCTCTCTCTCTCTCTCTCTCTCTTTTTTCTCTCTAGGTTTGTCTGTTTTTACTTTTTTTATCTATATCTCTTCTACCCGTCCGTCAGTCCGCCTGCCTGCCTATCTGTCTGTCTGTCTCCCCAGTTTATCATACACACACACACACACACACACACTGATTTGCTGGTGATATTCGATCATGTACCGTACTTGTGACTGTCGTGTTTACCCTGCAGTAGTGTCATGCGTCACACCACACACACACACACATCATCATCAACAAGTGACGCACAATCCAGTCGCCCACCTTGGGATGTGTGTGTGTGTGTGTGTGTGTGTGTGTGTGACTTATCTATCATCTCTAGGACCCACGAGTGTTCATTATGGGTTGT